TAATTGTGCCGGTTAGAATTCGATCTGAATTTGATCTAGTAAATTAAAAGATGATTGAGGAAAATATAAAATCTAGTTTGATTAAAAGTAGGGAGCTCGCTTTCTTTTATGTTTATTAATAGTAGGAAATCTACTTATTAAGTAACTATATCGATAAAAGGATACTATAAATTAATGTTAAAAGACAAGTTATTTCTGCAAATCCTCTTGTACTCTTCATTTGTCGAAATGGATACTAAATAGATTTTTTCTGAAAGAGTTTTTCACATGCAAAATTTAGTTTCTATTTTATTGTGTGATTACTATACTTGTCATTGTATTTTAACAAATTGGTATTCAAGCGTTCATGTTGCTCTTCTTCACCACATTAATAGCAACATTGAAGCATGACACTCCACTGTTGGATTGTAACATCAGGTTTGCTTTGTAGCTAGTAAGGATGAGGAAAATTCTTGTGTAGATGAATTTGCATGATACCGTGTTGGAGTTAGATTAGATGCCTTTGACATCGACACTTGAATAAAAATTTAGAAAAAAAATCAAAATACAATAAAAACTATAAAAATTATTGTTTGTTAAATGTGAATTTCCCCACCTCCCTACGTAGAAAAGGAATTTAATCAACCAATCAAATTGCGAGAAACTTGGTGAAGTTCTAGAAACATGACATTTAAATATGTTTTGAGAACCAAAAGTCCAATCATGTATTTCAATTTACCTTCTAAGAACTCCTATAATTATATTTGAAATTATAAGTCACTTATCTTTTTTTTAAAAATTGACATGCTATATGATTTGTTCAAACCAACCAAAACATATTGAACCAATATTTGAAATGATTGACCCTATTTTATGAATCATGCTTGACACTATACTCTCTATACAAAACTAACATCACATCATCATACAACGTTTTGCGATAACATTGCAAAAATAAAACCTCATCCAAGTAATGATCAAAAGTCCTAAAACACTAAATAATACAAAGTCCTAACATATAAAGTCTCATACTGTCGGTACATGTACTAATGATTAATTTATATAGGAATATGCACGAATCAATTTGCCTAATGATTAAAAGAATCGTTATTATTGTTAGCGATTACGGGATCGAGCTTCAGCGACTGCAGTAGAGTGATTGAGTGTTCATTGTCAAATAGTTGATAATATTTAGAACATATATTATTTTATAATCACCTTAGCTTAATTAAAATATATATATATATATGGGAGTGCAACCAACATGGTATTAAAAAAAGGTAAACTATGTATTTAGTCATATAACTATCACTTTAATTTCGTTGACCACTCAACTATTTTTCTTTCAAAATAATCACTTACATTACGTTTTGGTTTCATTTGGGTCACCATTCGTTAAAAAAATAACGGTGATGCGATAATGTCATGTCATCATTAAAAAAATAGAAAAATGTCATGTCAGTAGTTATGTTTATTTTTTAACGGCGAGTGACTAAAATAAAATCAAAACATAAAATAAGTGACATATTTAAAAATAATAATTAGATGACCAAAATTGAAGCAAAGTGATATTTTAGTAACTAAAGATTAATTTTACCCTAAAAATGAAATTTATAATTTAGAGTAAAAACGAGTCATCGTGACAAAATCGGCTTAAATTCAGATAAAATTTCGATGTGTATGAAAATTAATATTATCATATATTTTAAACTATATTTTTAAAATGATTATGCAGTCTTTTATTTTCATTTTTGGTCCCAGTTTTCTTGTCTTTTACACTTCCACGTGTGTTTGGAACATAAGTGAAATCAATTACACATGTTTTTGGAACATAAGTACAATCAAATTGGTCTAAAATCTAAGAGACAGTGATTGATCTGAAAACTAATTAACCGACCAAAACACAAAGATTCAAAGGCATTTATTTGCTTCAAATTTTTCGGCATTAACATGGTGTTGGAATGTTGGACGGTTGTTCCAATTTTTTAAGACACTTCACAAACACATATATGCTAATGGGTCACAACAAGTGAGATCGTGTTTGATTTTCAAATATTTTTCTTGCTCAATTTGAAATGTTTCCTGCCCTATTCTGATATGTGGTGTGTTTTTAATGTTTATAAAAAATAGGGTAAACTACTTGAATGACCACCCAACTATGAGGTTGGTATCAAAATGACCACCATTTTTAAATCTGCATCAATATGACCACTGAACTATTTAAGTGGTATCATTCAAGCCACCTTCTGTTAAAGTCTAATAGAGGGGTGATGTGGCAGTCAACATGAATTTATATAATTACACATTTGATCCTTAATACTTGTATATTCTATTAATTTAGTCCCAATTTAAATTTAATTTTATAAATTAACCCTTCAATCAGGAGGTGACACGTATCAATACATGGTCATGACACGTGTCACCTCCTGATTGAAGGGTTAATTTATAAATTACATGTAAATTGGGACTAAATTAATAGAATATACAAGTATTGTGGATCAAATGTGTAATTATAGAAAGTTCTGTTAACTGCCATGTAACCCCTCTGTTAGACTTTAACGACATGTGGCTTAAATGATACCACTTAAATAGTTCAGTGGTCATATTGACTCAAATTTAAAAATGGTGGTCATTTTGATACCAACCTCACAGTTAGGTGGTCATTCAAGTATTTACCCTAAAAAAAATTAAGAACAACTTCTATTTATAATTATATAATTTTATTTTATTTTATTTTATATAAATCTAAATTCCAGTATTATATTTCGAGAGAGAAAAATCTTATGTCAAAGGGTCGGAACATTTGTACAGGTATGAACATGTTTTGTGAGTTGTCGCCTAATATAAGCAAAATAAACAATGGACATGACATTAATCATTTATTAATTTTGTTGATTTCATGATTCACATAGTAAAGCTTATTTCTATCAAACAAAAAGGCAATGGAGATAATGAAAAACATGTCCACGAAATGCTTGAGTAAGTGAATTCACATTGAATATTTAGAATATAAATTTAATTGGATATTTAAGAAAATAAATTGATTTTGCTTCCTTTAAGTCTTTAGCAGATGTATATATGAACTAACGTCCGATTGGATAACTTTAATATTAATTCAAACTTCGAATTAATAGACAATGATTTAAGATTTAAATTACAATTTTGTTTTATGATTTAATTTATTTTTGTGAATTTATATTTTCTAAATAAAATTTTAATATAATTATATTTTAAGTATAATTCATATATACTTATTTAAAATATATATATATATATATATATATATATAATTTTAAAATAAATTTTATTTTAAATCTTGTATTATCTAAAATTTAGTATATATATAAAAAATATAATATGTACATATTATTATATTTGTTTTACTGATTTTTTTAATGTCATGATTTAAAACATATACATAAAACATTGTATAACTTAAAACCAAATGTTGGGTTTAGTCCAGTGGTAGTGGTGTGGCATGAGTCCTCATTTAGTTTTTCTTTGCTGGTCACACACGTCATCACTTAATTGGTAGAGAATTAATTATATTAAATATTAAAATTAATAAAAAAATCTCCAATCAAGTGGTGACACATGTCATTATTGAAATGTGTCAAAATACCAATTGACACGTCTTACTATTGAAATGTATCAAATAATCGATTGATACGTGGCACCTCCTAGTTGGGTTGTTTATTTTTTAAATTAAATTAAAACTAAGACTAAATGGATATAATATGTAACTAACAAGGACCAAATATATAATTATACTAATTTTATTAACTATCGCATCATGACTTTTGTCAAATATTAACGGATAGTGGCTATATTGAAACCTATCAAATAGTTAAGTGGTCATATTGATAAGATTTTGAAAATGGTGGTCATATTGATACCAAACCCATAATTAGGTGGTCATTCATATAGTTTACCTTAAAACTTTAATGTTGAACTCCAAGCCGTTTCTTTAAAAACAAATTAAAACACAGTTTAAAATATAATATGCATGGATCCCTGTAAGAATTTTATCCAGATTTGTCTATCGATAAAATGGGGCCTGAAAATATGTTGCTTTTTGTTGGCTTTGATCCAAACCGATTTGTTCGTAGATTACATATATATACTTCTTTTAACAATTAAACTTAAATAAAAATATTTTAATTATTAAATAATAGTTTAAACTCGATTTGATAGAATTAAATCTAAAATAATTTAAGGTTTGATTAGGACCGTTCGAACGAATTTCACTAACTAATTATAATATAATCATGTAATTTATATTTTTCAGCTAAATGATTAAATAAGAGTAACATCTAAAGGATTGTTTAATAAGAGTTTAATAAAGATTCATTATTTTTAAATTTATTTAAACAAAAGTTTAATCTTTTAAAATAATTAAACATGAGTTTGAATCTTTTAATTATATTTAAAAGATGATTTTTTATCTAAATAACTCCTAAAAGATAATTATATTTAAAAGATAATTGAGGTCCTTTTACTCTTAAATGAAACATTAGAACCAAAACAATTCAAGAGAAGAATAGATGTTAAAATAACCATTTTAATAAATGTTAGAGATAATTTTAGTAATATTTCATTAATAAATAAGATTAGATTAGATTAAATTAAATCATGCACGACTAATTTTCATTATGATTTTGCCTTAATCAAATTATCTTTAGTGATGGAAAGAATGATTGTTATTTTTAAAAATTTTGAATTAAACGTTGATGTTAAATGAAGTATGGTATCTATATTCCATAAATGTAAAAATAAAAAAAAAGAAAATGGATAAACCAACCTTAACAATTTAATCCCTAGATACGCAACCGACCAATTAAATTATAAAATTATTCGATTAATTAATGATTATTTATTTCAGTCAAACAACCCTACCCAAACGACAAACATGTTTTTTCTCCCTCTTTTTTCACATTTTTCCCCCTTCACAATCGCCATTCTCACTTCTTCACCTTCCTTCGTATATATATTGGATTCCTTCTTTTCCTTTACTCCCCGAAATGGCGTCGAAAGTGTTGATTCCTAGCTTAAATCTAAACAGTGTAAGAAATAATTCTCAACCACGTTCATTTGGCCATGTTTGTTTACCTAGAAAATCTGGGTTTTCGTCTCCATCTTCAATGCTAAAACCAGCAACAACGGCGGCAAGCACATCAGAAAAAACAGCGACATCCACTTGTGTCTTGTCTCGTTTATGGAGAGAAGTTCAGGGTTCCAACAACTGGGAAAATCTACTGGAGCCGTTGGATCCTCTTCTTCGAGAAGAGATTATTCGGTACGGGGAGTTCGTTGCTGCTTGTTACAAGGCGTTTGATCTTGATCCGAACTCCAAAAGGTACTGGAATTGCAGGTATGGAAAAAAGAGCATTTTAAAGGGAGTTGGTATGGAAAATTCAGGCTATAAAGTGACCAAATACATTTACGCCACCCCGGATATCAACATCCCCACCCAAAACGGCGCTTCTCGCGGTCGTTGGATCGGATACGTGGCCGTCTCGTCGGACGAAACCGTGAAATGGCTCGGCAGAAGGGATTTGCTGATAACGTTCCGAGGAACGGTCACGAACCATGAGTGGTTAACCAATTTCATGAGCTCGCTCACGCCCGCACGGCTCAACCCGCATGACTCGAGGCCCGAGCTGCAGGTCGAGTCGGGGTTCTTGAGCTTATACACATCGGGAGAATCTGATAGCAAGTTCGGATTAGAGAGTTGCAGGGAACAGCTTTTAGCCGAGGTTTCGAGGCTGTTAAACGAGTACAAAGGTCAGGAATTGAGTATAACATTGGCAGGTCACAGTCTAGGGAGTGCATTGGCTCTTCTTTTAGCTTATGACATGTCTGAGCTTGGGTTGAATAAACCTGTTAATTCGGACAACAACAAGAGAATCCCGGTCACTGTCTTCTCCTTTGGGGGACCAAGAGTTGGGAACTTGAGTTTCAAGCAAAGATGTGATGAACTTGGAATCAAAGTACTAAGAGTAGTGAATGTCAATGACCCTATCACAAAGCTTCCAGGTGTTTTCTTGAATGAGAACTTTACAAAGTCCCCGTGGAGGTGTTCGTGTTATGTTCATGTCGGAGTCGAACTAGCCCTAGATTTCTTTGATGTACGAAACCCTCCTTGTGTACACGACCTCGAAACCTATATCAACTTTCTGAAATGGCCCGAAACATGGGTTGATCCGATTGATAACAAAGATGTGGTTGATTTGTGGAATAGGGCAAGGGGATTTCTATCTAGTGCACATAATTTTTATATTGATATGCCATGGATTGAGGCTGCAATCAACATGGTAAACATCATTCAATCTCAATGAATTACCTGAACCTTAGTTGTTTAGCTATTAACTTTATGTAGGATAGATGAAGAACCCCATATAGAACTTGTAACTTTTTGTTTCCCATTTCTTGAAAAGGAAATTGAGATTCATATGGTAATAATATTTATCACTAGAACCAAAAAAAATTAGTGAATTGTAAATTAAGGAAATTTTCTTTTTTGTTTAATCTCTTAAAGGATATATCTCAAGCACAAATTCATGTATATAAATTCTAGGCGTTTTTTTAACTCTAAATGATTGGGATACCTTAATTTTTTTCCTGTGTGATTATACTTTGTGATTTTTAAATCAATAAAATTTTGTTCATATAAAAATATTGTAAATGAATATAATGTAAATATTATTCTGGTTAAGTACAAGATAATATTAGTTTAAATAATTCTTGACAATTTGACATTGAACGCTCACATCTATGACATCCTTGGTGCTCAAACACGGGACCTCAAGGATTAACAACAATTCTTTTACAACTGAGATTGCTCAGTTCATGCTTAAGCATCAATTTAAAGTAATGGTATAGAGTTTATTTTATGTATCGCTAACTTTCAAACTCAACATTTGAAAAAACAAACTTTAAACTTATATATAGTACAAATATGCAAGAGGAATTTATCAGACTTGGCTCACCATACTACTTGCCGGAGTGCAACAGAATCATTGCTTACACGCGTTGCGGACTGTCCGATTGCAAAAACAGTTTGGATAATCTCGTGCCACTATCACAATGTCGCATCGCATGTTCTTCTCTCTGCACCTTTGTTCGATTGGATCACTTCTAATATTTCTATTTCTCTTTGTAGGTATAATGGGAACATATGATCAGACATTTAAATAGTGGTCTATTATTGTGATAATGCACGTTATATAGTGATAGCAATAACGTCCGCAATAATTATTATATGATCGCAATAATCGTAATCATCAAAATAACGTCCGCTATATTCATAGTTACAATAATTATAATAAAAAAATACGACTGAAACTGTGATTTAAATATATGCCTATGATTGGAGTACTTTGTTTGGCTTTGCAACATGGATCATTCGAAAACAAAGGAGTACTTGATTTTTATGATAAGAATGCATGTGCAGCTACGTTGCTGGTTAAGACCTCTAGCTATAGCTACGTACATGACACTGTCAATTTTGCGGAAATCGCAGTCAGAGATGGATTGAGGGAAGGAAAAACAGTTGTTCCCATGAATTTTTCAAGGTCTCCTACATTTTTTATTTTTTTTTGTATTATATTGATAATATATTTTCACTCTCTAAAATTTATAACTTCGTCCTTTAATATAAAATTTCATGTCGGTGTCTAATTGCAGCTAACCCAAAGCAGAAAGCCTATGTAGCACGGGTACGACAATTCAGTGTCGTATGAAGGGCTTGATTCGTCCCCAACATGAGTACGAGACGGTTACAATTTGGGTACGTATGTATCAAGGACGTTCCATGTTTAATGGATAAGACTGAAATTAATTGGATACATTGGAGAGATTTTCGAGGACGTATCGAGAACGATATTTGATGTTCACGTGCGTATTTAGGATTATTTTTAAGACTTAAATAAAAAGTTGATATAGATGAATTAAGACATGATTTTATTTTTAATTATGATTTAATCTTATAAAGAGATATTCTTCAACTTCGAAAAGTTGACCGGCTAATTTTGATATCAAAACTTCATTGCTTCAATCTTTGGATTTCAAAATGTTTCGACAACCTACTTCATCCTCTTGTTGTGAAAGAAATTTGAGTATTTATTCTTTTGTTTACTCACGTAGGAGGAATAAGTTAAATCTAAGTCATGTTGAAGATTTGGTTTATATCCACAAAAATCTCCATCTTTTATTAATGAATATTTATGACCATTTATGTCTTTTAAAATTTATTTTATATTTACCATATCCTTAGGTACTAGTACTCTATAATTTTATAAATTATTATTTCTCGTCAAATATATGTCCCCGTACCAGTATCAGTGCAACATAACATAAAACATGGGAAATCTTTCGAGGATCATCTCAATGTCGCTAACTATTCCAAGTTGTTAATATGTTGACAGCGTCTTCCAAGGATCATCTCAGCCTCGGTAGAGCTAACTATTCGAAGTTGTTAGTATGTTGACAACATTCGAGAAAAATTAAAAGAAAAATAAATAATGTAATCAGTATTTGATTTAATGTGGTTATACAAAAGTTTTAATTTTAATTTAATTTTAATTCAATTATATAAAATTTAAAACAAAAAAATTATTGAATAAATATAACTATTTGTGTATATAATATTTAAACGATAAAATTATTATCGAAAATAGTTTTAGTACTTTGTAAAAAATTAAATGAAATTAAACTTTCATGTATATGATTAATGGAATTTCGAAATTTATTTATCATATTATACATTTATCAAAATTCATATACAGTTGTCAAAACAGTTTTTAACTTCGATGATTTTAACTATTTTTTTGTTTATTTAATTTCTGCCTTTTTTAAATTCCAATTTAATTTTACTTCCCTTACAAGTTAGCTCTTTATTTAATTTATGCATTTATATTTTCATCCCTTTGGTTTCTCATTTATGTCAGTTCAGTCCTTATTTACTTTATGCAATTTAGTTTTACCCATTCAATTTCTCATTTCATTCATGTTAATCCTATTACATTTTTTCACCTTAATATATAGTATAGTATATATCCTTCTATTATCTTATTGAATCCATCAAGTGACCTCAATGATAAAAAAAAGTTGATCTCGTTAGAGGTTTAGGGTTCAAGCAGTGGCATCTACAAAGCATGTGGATTGTCAATAAATTAATATTATTTGGAAGAGATTGAAAGTATATTAAATTAAAATTATGTGTAAATTAATTTTTTATTAAAATAGGATGATTACCAGTAGTAGTATACGTTCTAAAGATTTTCAATCATTTGACAATGAATTCTCAAATACCCTATAGTCACTGGTGCTTGAACTCCGAACCTTTAAAAAAACAATCATCCTTTTAACCACTAAGGTAGTTTGGCTCGTACATGTAAATTAAACTTTTAAAATAATTTTTTTATTCTGATATCAATATCTTATCACCAAGTAACAATAAAGTTTTTTAGGGTAAACTACAAAAAGTGGTCAATTTTGTTTGAGTTTTAAACTTTTTCTCACTGAATTCAAAAACATATGATTTGGTCACTTTCGTTTCATTTTAATTAAGATGTGGTCACTTAAGGTTAACAGTCATTAAACCTTTAACGGTTTGCCGATGTGGCACGGTAAATATATAAAATTAAAATTACATCATTTTCACGTAGATAATATGTGGATTAAGTTTTGGCGACTTTCCTTCCAAAAAAACACAAGTTTTGCTGACTTACATCACTATTTTATTAAGTTTTGGTCACTTACGTTATAGTTTTATTAAGTTTTGGTCACTTGGACGTTGAATGTTGATAGTTTGATGACGTTACCCGTTAGTAAAATGGTTTAATTTTTATTTTAACCTTACACTTTAGACAAAATATTGATTATGAGTCTTTTGTAAATTCAAATTACTTTAGTGACAACATTTCAATTAGTTTATGTACGATATTGCAATAGAGCAAAGATGTCTGAAGCAAGCGGGGAGAAGATGAGCAATATTGGGGGTTGGGGGAGAAAAACTAATTTGAATTTACAAAAATACTCATAGTCATATTTTTCTCTCTAAAAGTTTAGGGGTTAAAATAAAAATTAAATCATTTCATTAATGAGTCACGTCATCAAACTAATGACATTAATTGGTCAAGTGACTAAAACTTAATAACATGATAATGTAAGTGACTAAAACTTAATAAAACAATAACGTAAGTGACCACCAGAACTTATCTTTTTTGAAAAAAAATTGACCAAAACTTAATCCACGTATTATTTACAAGGAAATGATGTAATTTTAATTTTATATATTTACCTAGCCACATCATCGAGTTAAGGGTTTAATGGTTGTTAAGCTTCAGTGACCACATCTTAATTAAAACGAAATGAAAGTGACCAGATTTTAATTAAAATGAAATAAAAGTAACCAAAACTTATATTTTTTGAATTTAGTGAGGAAAAGTTTATAAAACTAAAACAAAAGTGGCCATTTTGTAGTTTACTCTTTTTATATAAATTTTAAATCTAATTCTAATTCTATCTAGAGGGGGAAGGGGAAGGGGCTCTAAGGGAAGGAAGGAGAGTGCTCCTAGTGGGTTTAGGACTAGAAATGGGCACGTGATCCAAACTCGATTTTGATCTGACCCAATCATACTAGTCAGTTTTTTTAAAAAAAAAGGTTTATGGTAGGTCAAGTCAGATTTTTAGAGGATGTGTTTGAGTTAGATCAAGTTCAGGTTTAGGGTGAAAAATACCAAATTCGACCCGAAAATAATGTAATTCTATCATATATATATATATATATATATTTAGGGATAATTGCAATAATATCCCTCTCTACTTTATTTTTTCAACCAGATCCATATTTTTATTTAATAAAATTAATATTTTTATAAATATATTTGTTTCGGTCGAGTTCAGGTAGGGTTTCATGTGGAGGGGACATATTTTTCGATCCATGCTCATCCCTATCTAAAACTATAATTTAAGGTAATATGTGAGAACAAAGATGAGCAACTTAACCAATCGGTCAAATATGATTGCTCTACAATACCTTAACTTTAATAATGATTAAAATATAACAATATTATAATCTTACTTGTGAAAATTTCTATTGCTAAGTCATGAAATAATTATACTATATATATGATGATCTGGCCAGTACTGAAGGAAAAATTGTGTTTAAAAGGGACAAATTAAATTATTAATTTTACAAGGGTCGAAGTAAAATTTTATTATTGTACTAAATTATAATATCATAATGTTTACTATGACCACATAGAAATCGTACCATATCTTTGTGGGTTTGAGAGCACGAATCTACTTGCAACACCGACAATTTTGGCCCGACGCCGTATGAGGGCTAATTATTTAGCCCAACATTGTACCAGTTTTTTATTTTATTTTAGGGACTACGACATTTGTTACAGTGATTTAGAATTTATCACGTCGAGGTACTAAGTTCCAATCAAATATATTTTTATTAAAAAATTTCACTCCGAAGCGACAAAAACTAATAAAAAATATATTTTATTAGAACTCATAACCTTGACATGACGAGATTGAATAAAAACATATTATATGGACAAACTCGTCATCTGAGCGTGACAACTCTATTATATATTATAGCATTTATCGTAGATCCCAAATTATTTTTATAAATAATCTAATTGACTAATTTTTTCACCGGTGTGATGTATTGGGCCAATTTTACCTACAACGCCCCTACCAAGCCTAAAAGCTCATTCGAACACGAGACATTACACTTGGATATCGGACCAGATACGTACAAATTTAAGATCCTTCCAAAATAAACAAGGTAGATTCATATACGTAAACATATCGAAGAATTCCAATTAGTCTAAAATCATCATCAATTTGAATTGACTTTGATCAAACTTTTTTTTATTTTTTATTTTGGCGAACTCTTCGAATGATTTCAATGATAAAATTGAATATTATTTTTCTTAGAGGTTATGTATATAAATAGTTGCGCTTGTAAGTGTGAGTACATTGTTAATGACTAAAACAAATTCTGAACATATATTATTTTATAATTATCTCAAATTATTCAAAAAATATTGTTGAATGTAATTGTGACGTGTTTAAAAAAATCATTATACTTTGTGACCCTTGTCACGCTAGATGTAATTAGAGACCCCTAATTACACTATTTAATTCTTATAATAGAAGGAGAATCGAAGGCCATTGGGGAAATCCCTAATTGCACTCTTTAACTCTTATGGTAGGATGAGAATTAGTGTGATTATAAAATGAATTACACTCCTTAATTTTATAATTAATATTGTTTTAAAATCTAAACTAATTTAATTACAATCAAATATGATGTACACAATTAAAATATAATTATACTCCATCAATTAAATAATTATATATATATTTTTTAAAAATATTCTTTTCAAAATTGTGAGGCTGTGAATGAGTGTGAGTTAAAAGATCTTCCTTCTCTGACCATGTCACATGCACTTCAATTTGGTTGGCTTGTGACATGATAGACAATTATTTTTCCAAACACAATGTTTTGTTAATAAAATATATGAATTTATTTGTGATTTGTCCGACCGCAAAAAGCAGCAGTCCACTTGGTACTAATAAAATGGATATGTTTCTTAATAAATGAAGTAAAATGGTCCCCCCCTTTTTTTTTTTTTTTGACTTGTTTATATTAGAGATGAAAAATTAATTTACATTAGATAATTTTGATTTGATTCGATATTATAATATTAAAGTTTAAAAAAAAATTGAATTGAATTGGGTCGAGTTATATTCGAATTTAATTATCTTGACTTAACTTGATGAAACGTATTTCACTTGACTTGATTTAGAAATAATATTTAATTATCTTTATTATTTGAAGATAATCACTATAATATCCTTGTATCTATATTTTTCTTTACATTTTTCAATCTTGTATGTAGACTTGTAAATGAGACGAGACAGATCGCGAGCAACTAAAGATTGACTTAGTCGAAGGTCGATAAATACTCTACTCGAGCTCTTAACAAGCCGAAATGAGCTACTTGACAGTTAGCTCGAAAAGCTCATGAGTAGCTCGAAAAATTTGAGTCGAGCTTGAAAATTTTAGGCTCGCGAGTTTTCAAGTCGAGTCGAGTCCGTTTCAAGTTTTCGAGTCGAGACAAGCTCAGTAATACTCGATTCGACTCAACTAGTTTACAGTCCTATTTGAATGATTCAAAACCACTAAAAAAAAAAATTTCTTTTAGATACACAAGTTCTATGTTAGACTTAGAAGAGTACCGGATGGGATGGATGAAAAAAAAAGATGAAGGGAGAGAGTGATATCACTTAGCTCGGCAGGTCCCATCTCTTAACATCCAAATTAGAATAAATAAATGGAATTCAACCATGACTAAATCTTACTTTCAATCATTATATTCTCGTTATCAACTCAATTTTTTATGATCAGTTGGATATGATCTCATCTGATTAAGCCTGAATTTTATTCAATAAATCTAATTGTAATCACTAAATAAACCCTCCATAAATCGAATTAAAACTTGAATATTAACTAAAAATTTAGATTGTGAAATATTTGGGTAAAAATTGAGGTCCAAAAACTAAGACTTTACCAATATGAATTTTGATGTTCTATTCTGACATGAAATAAGTAAATCATTTATAAGAATTGTGACCAGAAACAATGAAAGAGAACATATATACCTTAAAAATATAGTTATTCTTCGAGAGAAAATAATACTATTTTTAACCGATACTTAATAAATATTTATTTGTTTGTTTTCAATTTAATATTACTTAGTGGAAACATTTTAATAAAAACGAAAATTTTACCTAAAATTAGATCAATTTCATTAAAAATAAAATCTAAAGATTTATTTAATATACTCGCATTATATAATTGTATTTTATTTTCCTTAATGTATAATAGGTAAACTAAATTTTAAGAGTTTATTATAAATGAAGTCATTTGGATGCATATTTTTTTCATTAATATGACATGGATTTTTACATCAAACTCTTTCAATTATGGTCCAAAATAAACGGCACGTGAATTATGCCAACCCAGATAGACATATAAAACAAAGGCAATAGATGGTGACGTAACATAAATCACCAACATGTGATGGAAGCAAAACCTCATACGACATTTTCCCATCAACAATCCTTCCTCTTCATTATTTATTTTTCATGTACTCTCATTTAGCTTTGAAAATAAACCTTTCTCCTTTTAGCTTTCGGCTTCTAACAAATTTTCAACTTTTTTTCATTACTATTTCTCTTAAGCCATGTATCCATCATCTTCCTCTCAAAAACCCATGGGTCAATCCGGTCTGACCCGTTACGGTTCAGCTCCCGGTTCCTTCCTCACCAACGCCGTCGATTCCGTCATCGGAGCTGATCCTAACCTCGTCGGCCACTATTTCTCCGCCGCCGATTCATCGTCTCTAACGTCCGAGTCTACCTGTAAAGCCAGCTCGTCCAACGATCCTCGAGAGACTAATTCTTCCGCTCCTCCTCCGCCGCATCATCCGCATGGATCTTACCATGCGCCTTCCTCTTCTTCCTCTCTACTCAGACAACGAAGCTCTCCCGCCGGTTTCCTTAGTCACCTCACGTCGGAAAACGGTAATGCCTCCTCCCTCTATTTTCTTTCAAAGAGACCGTTTTGTCCTCGTTATATCTGCTTAATCATTGTCCGGCTAGGGGTATTGTTGACTTTTCATCACATCCTTTATCTTTTGATTGGCGGCTTTTATTCGTCTGAATAATATCATCGGTTGACCAATTTTTTACGTTGACCATAACGTCACTTTCTATTCAATTTAATTATAAATTTTTATAACCGCTTCAATATTTTTTTAAATTTATATTTTTTCAATATGGTTTTAGTGTATCATTATTAATCTCCAAATGTTATATTTCGAGTTTCAAAGTAGTTTTTTATTTGCATTAAGTAAATTCTAACAATTTTATCACCCGTTTCATTAAAAATAAGAGAAAATAACTCCATTAACTAAAAATATTTTAAAATATACGATTTTAATTAATTTTTTTTAAAAATTTATACAAATAACCAATAAATTTATACAAATATCGTAATACTAATTACCGATATAGGTAAACACAACTATTCGTAATGTGAATTTCGTTTTCGCAACTTGAATTTCGCAAGTCGAATTCGTCAATTTCGCAACTCAATTACTGATATAGGTAAACAATTTCGGTAAAAAATCTGAATTTGCTAATTTGAAAATTGAGTTGCGAATTTGACAAATTCATGTTGCGAAATGTAAAATCTCGTCTCATAAAGAAAAAATCATTTCGACAGTTTGTTTGTTTGGTTAAACTTAAACGAAATAACATGAACATACCCTCGTTCGTATATGTTCAATTCATTTACATGCGTAGGTTTAGCTGAGTGATTCATACGTGGACTTAACAACTGAGATGCCCTAGGTTGAAAATCACTAGAGTGCATTTATGTCCTTTATTTTTTTTCTTTAAGAGGCGAGATTTTACAATTTGCAACACGAATTTGTTAAATTCGTAATTCAGTTTTCAAATTATCGAATTCGGATTTTTTATCATATTTTTTCTACCGTGTTTATCTATTTCGGTAATTGAGTTGCGAAATTGACGAATTTAATTTGCGAAATTCGCGTTGCGAAAACGAAATTCACGTTGTAAAAACGAAAGTGAATAGTTGTGTTTACCTATATTGGTAATTAGCGTTGTGAGAATTTTCATGTTCGCGTTGCAAATTTAGAAACTGTTTTACGAAACAGGAGTTTGCGTTGCGAATTTGTTGGGTATTTTTGTAAATAAAAAAATTGGTTAAAATCGTATATTATAAAATATTTTCGGTCACTGAAATTATTTTTTCTAAAATTAATTGTCTCGGAATCTTTATAAGGCTTTATTCATAATTTGACCCTGAATTATATATTTTTTCCCATTTTGATACCTAATTTTTCTGTCTTACTTTTACTTTCTCGCCTAATATATTATTTCTGTCCATTTTACTCCAAAATTACCAACGACCAATAATATGCCATGTGTTACGATCCCATTGACAACTTACTTTTTGGATAACCTGAGAATCAAATGTTTAAGTGGACAAAAATTTTCAATCACTAAAATAGACAAACAAATATACTTCAAGGGTCAAGTATTAAATTAAACCTTTTCTAAACTCAAATAGATTAAGTTGGTGAGAGGGACACCCACTGAAGTTTTCTCCCTTGTGAACCAATTTGAGATTGCATACAATTCCATTTTTCTTTTTGATCTATCTTTAGACTGTAATCACTGATTATTAAAGGTTAAATGTTGCAAAAGATAATGACAATTTGAAGCAATGAGTGCGTTTCAACGTGGGATTTTGTTGTTGACACTTTGTCCTTAAAAAATGCATAAATAATTTCAACCATACATTTACTTAAAAATTTGGGACAGGTAGATTGTTCCAAGTTCTAACCCAAGTTGGGTTATGTCAAGTCCATTTCATGAATAAAAGTTAAAGATTTTATTCTCGAGTGTTTTCTTACATTTTTTAGGGTTAATATATATGGTCATGGATGGATGGATTGAGGTCGGTCTTCTTGAAAGTTTTAAATTATCATTTATTTTAATATTTTATTGATAATATGTTTACATTTCTATATAATTTTATAAGTTCGTATTTTGTTAAAATTTTAAAAGATCATTCCTTATAACATGAAATCTCATATTTGACTCTAAATAGATTATAGAAAAAAAAATCAATCTAAAAAAGCTTTCATTAATCACATTCAAGTTGCTATTTGCTAACAGCGTAAAGATATGCACTTCTTTTATAGTGTTACTTGAATGGATACAAAAAGAAGGGTAGCCAGAAAACGAGAAGGAGAAGGAATAAAAATTAATGGATGGTTATGCAAAGTTAATAGATAGCCAATGAATGCAACCCACATTTTGTTTTGCTTGTAGATGAGATCTTACAGGGTATCTATCACGTGCCTCACATGTCCCCACCAATTTCTTAGGAATCCAAACATTATGCTTTTATTTTACTTTATCATAATCGACGCAGATGCATAAAATATATAGTATAATATGCCTTTTATGGGGTGAATATTTTATGATGTGCAAGTTGGAATAAAGTAAGAGATGAGCGTTGTAGTCCAATGGCCAATCTGATATTACTTCAGTGGAATGAGGGGGACTTGAAGCTTAGCTTGTTATATAGATAGGGTGAATTTCGATTAAGTCGAGTTAAAAAAAATTAAATTAGTTGAATTGATAAATTTTATTTTATTTAAAATATTTTCGAGCCGAGTTTATGAAATTATAAGTTGAATCAAGTCGAGTCAAGAAATTTATTTTTTTGAATCAAATTATATTTTATTCACTCCTATTTATAAAAACTATTAGGACATATAGTATCATCAATCTATGTTATTCGAATTTGAGATATAAACATCATATATATCGTATATGTATATATCTAATAATATAGATAAACTAAAAGATATATATATATACAGAGACTTTGATCCTTAGCAAAATAAAAATTCTATTTTAATCCTCTAAAAAATTATTAGTCTAAGTTAATTTTGTTTAACACAGTTATTAGTTTTGGTCTCCATAAATTTTATAATTTCATCTCAATCTTCCAAACTTAACATTCTAACTTCACCATTACCTAAAGAGGTAAATTTATCTTTTCCTTTTCAAGATATTTTATATATTTGAAAGATCTTTAATCATAATTCCTTATTCTCATATCCAAATATAATATTAAATACAAATATAGATAATAAGTGGTTTAGAAAAATAAATAAAGAATTAAGAGTAATATATTTCTCGATGAAACCGTACATTCAAAAGGATAGTTATTTGAAGTCATTAAACGGTTTCATAGTTAAAAAGGGTGTTAAAAAGGGTGTTGTTTTCTGAGATTCTGATTAACATCTATATTTATAGGTATATGCATTGTCAATGATTAAGAAAGATTCTAAATAAATATATCTTATAAATTATAATCATTCTAAAGTATTTTAAAAAAAATAATCCTTTATTAAAAAAGTTATATGTTTATGCTTTTAAATTTTATAAGTTTATTTTATATTGTTTTTGTTCTATTTTTTCAAAAAAAAAGTATTTTTTTACGTCATTTATATATAAAATATGAGATTTGAAAATAAAGATAAAATCATTCAAGGACTTTCTAGGATATGAATGTTTTTTTTAGAGAAATTTAAATAAACACATATCATACCCATTTTTTAGAGTTTAGGAGTTTGATCTTACTGTATATATTAATAACTTTATATCAGAATGCATGTTTACGATTTTACTTTTAAAACTAACACTTAAATAACGATACCCATCAAGTGGCCTCACTGGTTAAAATGATTGTTGTTCTTTCTAGAGGTTTTAAGTTCAAGTAGCTCAGTCTGCAGGATGTGTGCGTTGTAGATTCTATTGGTTCAAATAAAACTATATATTTCTTAATCTATTTTGAACTCGGGCATGAATATCAAATTTGGATACGTGTCTGATACAGAAAGTTTTGGACATGAAGTTTATGTTATGTTGCAGAAAAAAACTAAAAATGATCATTGCAGGTTTTAGTGTTACAATGGGCAACAGAGACTATAGCTCTCAAGGCAGTGCTAACGGTAGTCATGGAGTGTCAAGGCTGAAGTCCCAATTGAGTTTCACTAGACAAGATTCTCTTTCTCAGATCTCTGAAGTAACTGAGAATCTTGTTGATGGTGTCAACTCTAACAGTAACCACCAAAATGCTGCACATTCATTTGCTGCTGCTGGCTTTGGAATAGATTCATGGGATAATACAAACTCCATTGTGTTTTCTGCCTCACCAAGCAAGAGGGCTAAAAATATCGATGTCGATATTTACAACTGTCTGAATGCCTTGGACACTCAGGTACCATTCATGGAAAAATAACTTAATGGCGCTTGTTTCCCGTGAAAATGAACTTTTAGGAGGCTTTTATTTCTCATTCTTTGCCCAATATGGTTGTTTGCCAAATAAGAGCATGATTTGCAGCTAACAGTAGCGCCATTGATTTAGCTTGTCATCACATGGATGGATATCAAAGTGCTTTACAATCATGCCATTTACTTCTCAGTATTGACCTCATGTTCCCATTTGATCTTGATTTCAGTTTAGCTTGCCCCAAACAACACTTGAGATGGCCACGGTTGAACAACTGCTACATATTCCTGAAGATTCTGTGCCTTGTAAAATCCGAGCCAAGCGTGGCTGTGCGACTCATCCTCGAAGCATTGCTGAAAGAGTAAGTTAAGATTTAAGAGAGGTTGCTATAGCTGCTCAGAAATCGAATTGTTTATTGTTAGCAAAATCTAAAGATGTCAGTGAAGGTTCATAAGACCAACCTATAGCCTTTTAGAATAGCCAGTTCTATCAAGCTGCAAGTTCTGTCTCAGAAAGTTCAACTTTCTTATATGCCTTGCACATATGGAAAATTTTTCAGGCATATCAACTGTTGTCGGTGCTGTGGTTTAGGATGCATCCATGTGTCCTTTTTTGTTATTGTTTCTTTGTAGGTAAAATACACAAATGATCCCCATTATAGGGTGATATTTTGTTTATCCCCCAACTATTTGAAAATACAAAATGGTCCCTCGATTATAGGGCATTGCTTAGTTGAGTCTCCTAACTATTAAAAATTACAAAATGGTCATCTGACTATTCATATGTTCCAAGCTCGTTATTTTCCGTTAAAAGATAGACTACAGTCTGAGCTGAACATTAACCTGTTGAATGGGATATGATAAAATCTGATCTTAAAATCTCAAAAGACTATCATATCTCAGTTAGCATATTAACGTCCAACCCATACGACTGCCAATTTTTTAACGAAAAATGACGAGTTTGGAACATATGAATAGCCAGGTGACCATTTTGTCACTTTTAATAGTCAGGGGACTCAACAAAGTAAGGTCGGAGATCATCCGTGTACTTTACCGTTCTTTGTACCGGACACATGGATGTATCCTGAATTCGCTTGTGGAATTTTTTTTCATTCCACTCTGTGCATAGAATACTTATTCTGTATCTACTTCACGGTATGTAATACACAGTTACAGTTGGTTATTAACATGCAAGAGGAAAGCGTATCAATATGCATTAATCCTCTAAAGAATGATAAATAAATCGAGCATCATTAAAACTTCATATATGTGTACAGGAGAGAAAAAGAATAAGTGGGAAGCTGAAGAAATTACAGGAGCTTGTTCCTAACATGGATAAGGTAATCACATATATATTTCTATTCTAGTCCTTGTATTGAATCTATATATATGTTGCTTCAAATCATTCATTACCTTGTGAAGGTTTTGAAGCTAACTTGAAAAAAAGGTCCAAAATTTTATTTCAAATAAAAAATGACATATCTTTAAAATCTTCTTGCAGCAAACAAGCTACGCAGATATGCTGGACTTGGCTGTGCAGCATATTAAAGGTCTTCAAAATGAAGTTCAGGTTTGTAAATATGTCATGCTGAGTTTCAAACATCATCATTATGATCCTCCTTCACATGATAGATTGCATTTTTGCAGTGGTAGTGACATCGAATCTATCTATGATATGCATGTGCATGGTAGAGTACATTCAATTTAACTTCTCTTGGCCAAAAAAGTATCTTCAAGGCTTGGAATCCAAGCAGGGACGAAACTATGGGGGATTGAGAGAGACAGAGATGGACCGAAGGGACGACCCCTAAAAATTTTATATATATTTTAGATATTTTCTTTTATAAATTCGTCCCCCTTAAAATTTCATAAGTTGTCCCTCTTATCATAAAATTACAGGTCTGTCCTTGAAGAGAATTTCCCCCACCATAACTTTATAGTTATTAAGTTTGTTTTTTGAAGTTAGATATTCTGGGATGATTACAAGGTAGTATTCGTTCAGAATTTTTCTTAGCCTATTGACAACTCATGCATTCACGTAGCTGCTCAAACTCGGGTTTTCCAGATAGAACAATATCTCCTTTTACCACACTAAGTTCAATCAATGGGTTAAAAAGTCATTGAATCAAAGTGGATAATAACGTTAAGTATAAGCATTCTCCAAATCAAGTTGTCCTAAATTTGGGGTCAGTTGTAAACTACTTTGCCTTTAGAATATGTTTAAAATGGCTTTCAACTCCAACATGTGTTTTCTTCGAGTTTATGTTTAACATTTATAACTCTCCCTTTGCAGAAACTCCACAAAGAATTGGAAACCTGTACATGCGGGTGCAAACAAAGCTTATGATGTTTGCTAAACAGGTTTAAGGAAACAAAGAACTTGTCTAATTTCCCAGTTTTGAAGCCAATACCAATTTAGCTTGCTTAGCTCGACTTAATAATGGAAAAAGTAGAGGGAAAAACTCGAAAATGTATATAAATGGACTGACATTGTTTCCCTTGTTTGAGAAGTTATTGAATTGGAAAATGGGGAAAAAAGGCAAATTGTTCCAAATTCCTTTATTAAAATTATGTGTCTGTCAAATAACATATGTTTTGGTTAAGAGTTCGAGTTGACATGTTTTCCCTGTTAAATTTCAGTGTCTGTCATGTAACATATATTTTGGCATTTATATTTTAGTTGGGAATGAAGAATTCTGTTGACATGTTTGGGTATTTGATTTGATATTTAGGGTTTATTTATATACATCTGTAGTGGTTTCCTTTTCGGTGTAGAAAGGTTGCAATTTAGGATTGGGGAAGGTTAAATGAAACTGCAATAATTTGAATTTCGTAATGTAATATCTGATCAAACATAACTTTTAATTATTTGATATTAAACATTTATATTCTTAGAACTCATGATGTTCAAATTCGAGACCTCAACGAATAACAATTTTTTTATCACCACCGAAATCGTTGAATCAATCGATTAAAATTATTGCATGATATAATTTGATTAAAATCAATTGATTAAAATTATTGCATTACATAATTTGATTGGTATTTTTTTCATTTTATGAGAGATGTTAAAAATAAAACAATTAAAATAATATTTGAAAATTTTCTGGACAATTTGGTTGCCATACCCAACGGTCAACACCGAACCTGTCACTTTAATTACAAACAGAACGTGTTTCCCTCTAAAGTAATGAAGAGAGAGAGAGAAATAAATAAATTTAGCTTACATAGAAAAAAGATTTTTTTCCTTCTTCAATGCATTCTCATCATGGTTTTAAGAATCAGATCGATTAGCGAATCGGTCATGTTATCGGTTCACTGATTTAATCGGTCGAATCGTCTGACCGGTCGGAAGAACGAACGACGTCATAATAATTAAAAAATTAAATAAAAATCAAAAATATTTAATAAAAAATAATTTGTATATCACAAGTCATATTCAAAGCAAGTCATAACATATATGAGTTAAAAACCATAAAATCAAGTGAAACAAAATGATTCAAATTAACTACAACATAATATTTAAGGTAAAACATATTAAATAATAAATATAATTATATAACTATAATTAAAAAATAAATTTGGGGCTAAAAAAATCATAAAAATGATATTGTTTAGTTTAATTTTTTTAAAAAAACAATCTCACATGGCTAAGAAACATAGAAGAACATCCAAAAGTGAGTAAAAATATGAGAACAAAACAATCCCACATGGCTAAGAAACATAGAAGAGCATCCCAACTAACTTCTATAAATAATAGAGGTAATTTGACATTCAAAATCATGAGACTTTTGGTGAGCATAAAGTGAACTATTTTTTCACTTCAATCAAACTCGAATTTTAGGCTTCAATCGAGCTTCTAATTTTTTTTTAGTTCAAGCCTTTTCGAGTTCAAGTTTCAATATTATATTTCGAATTCGAGTTGAACTTGATAATTTTTAGTCCGTGAGTTTGAGTCGAGTTGAGCTTACTTTTAAAGTTTGAGTCGAGCTCAGCAATACTCGAGTTCGACTTGGCTCGTTTAACAAACGACGTCGTTTGGTTTTTTAAAAAAAAAAAAACAAAATTGGCGGTTTTTCCCAGTTTTCAGCCGGTCCGGTTCGAACGGTTCAACGGTTCTGCCGGTTCACTAGAAGCGGTTCAACCGATTTAGTTTGAACCGGACTAGGCAACGATACCGGTTGAACCGACTGATCCGGTCCGATTTGATTTTCAAAACAATGATTCTCATGCATCGATTTTCTTTAACAAAGAGAAAGTGAAAGTGGAAGAATTTATTAATTCCCTTTTTCATGGATCAATATTTGCCACACCACCATGTCGTTTTCTCCGCCAAATCGATGTCGGATCCCAGCGGCTCTTTCATTTTTACTTTTTATCGTTTTATCATTTGTTGTTACTGTCTTCGTTGTATCACCTTCATGTAACAATGCTATCGAATCAGTAATTTTGTTTGTCATCTCCTTTTTTGAAAAAAATAGTAAAGTACACAAATGATCCCTCGAATATAAATATTTTTTATTAAGTCTCTCAACTATTAAAAGTTACAAGATGATCCTCTGACTATAGAATGTTGCTTTGTTAAATCCCTTAATTATTAAAAGTTACAAAATGATCACTCGACTATTCATTATATTTCAAACTCGTTCTTTTTGTTAAAAGGTTGACGGTTGTCTAAGTTGGAAGTTAACATGATGACTAAGATATGATAGTCGTTTGAGATTTTGGGATAAGATTTATCATATACAGTCAACATGTTAACATTCAGCTCAAAATATCGTCAACTTTTAATGGAAATGATAAGTTTGGAACATAATAAATAGTTAAATGATCATTTTATAACTTTTAATAGTCTAGTGACTCAATAAAGTAACACTCTAACTTTTAAAGTTAAAGGACTTAACAAAACAATATTTTATAGTCAATGGACCATTTATGTACTTTACCCAAAAAATATTATTGGCATTTACATCATTGGTAAATGCTCTTGCTTTGTGTTTTATTAAAGGGTAAAGTACACAAGTTGTCCTTCGATTATGGGCAATATTTGTTAAGTTCATCGAATATTATAAGTTACAAAATGATCTTTTATTATAGATCGTGTTTTTGTTGAGTCCCTCGATTATTAAAAGTTATAAATGGTCACACGACTATTCATATTTTCAATTTCTGTTAAAAATTTAACTACGATCTGAGATATATGTTAACATGTGATGATATAATAAAGTATGATCCTAGAATCTTAAAAGATTATCATATCTCAGTTAGCATGTAACGTCCAACTCAATCGACCGTCAATCTTTTAACAAAAAAAATGAAGAGTTTAGAACATATGAATAGTCAGGTGACCATTTTGTAACTTTCAATAGTCGAAGAATTAACAAAGTAATATCTTATAATTGAGAGATCATTTATAACTTTTAATAGTCGGGTAGTTCAATAAAACAACATCATAGTTGGGATCATTTGTGTAGTCAACCCTCTATTAAATTGCACTTGATTAATAGCTCGAAGCACTGGTCAGAGTTTAAATTCTGAGCAAACAGGGTTAGGAGGTCACGCCGTAAGGAGTCTCTCCAAAACCCAATTTGGAATTAATGTTGGTGTGGATAGATAGATTATGTTATTGATTTCCGTAGGATTTGTCGTGGACAATGGGGATATTTGTTGCTACCAACTTGCGTTGTTGGTTGTGAATTAGGCAAATTACAAAAGTTATTCTCGGTAAAACAATTCAGATGATATGTTAATAGTGTGTGTTTGCCCTATTTCCTTAATAATTCAGTTCAAATCTTGCAGGCCATGGTGAGGATATGGATTGATGGTGATGAAGGTGAATATATGACTGGGTTAACGGCAAGCTTTGGAGCGAAATTGGCCGAGGAAAAACAAAGTCCCAAATCGACTCCTGTTTTCTCAAATCCCCTAACTGGCTGTTCTACTACTTCTTCTTCAAGGTTTTGTCTCATTTACTGTCTTCTCTCAATTTTTTCAACTTTCTTCTCCAATAACTGTTTGGCATTGTTTATTTATTATTATGAGTTATGCCTTGTTTGATTGAGTTAAACATGTGGAAGAGATGACAATTTACTAAACTTTTGAATAATTCCGAATGCACTACCCTTTTTAAGCACAGGACAGAATATTTGATTACAGCTATCTGGCGCTGTGGCCTTGTCTAAAACGTGGTGATTGTGACTTTGTAACTAAGGCCAAAGTTGCAGTTGCTGCAGCCTTGGGTGATAATGACAAAGAAGGTTATAAATTTGTATTTTAAACTTATTTTGAACTTCAATTGGATCGTTTCTGTAACACCCCAACCCGTACCCGACCCGGATACGAGTCCGAAGTGTCCATTGACTTTTCAAACTTTGATTCTTGACAAAATTCAAAGAAAATTTAAAACTTTCCTTAGTAAAAGCAATTTAGTTACGTAATTTGACCACAATAACCAAAATCGTCAGAGCATATTTAACTCAATTAATTAGTACATGCCAACTATATTCAAATAACAAAAATCAATTAACTCATCTATTTTCTGATGAAATCTTGTAAGGGAGATGCTGACCTGTGCTCTCTCACAGCTTCCATAATCACTTTCTGTAACCTGCGTGTGAAACACTCACACGCTAAATCGATGACTTAGTGAGGCATAAAGAAAACACATTAATGGAATTCATACCCACTAATCATGCATGACTGTTTTATGCTATCAAATTATACAAATCATTTACATATATTCATGTATATATGTAACAGATACCATAACCCCTATCACACATATATCATATCATGCACACATCATATCACCAATCATATACATATATCACATACATTGTTCTCATATCACCAAGACATATATGCACTTCTACCCTGTCACGAGAAATACACATATCATTATATCAAATTATGTTCTCTTTTCAAAGCCATGTACACATGTGAGAACTATAGATATGTGAGTCTATAGAGGTGTGCACTATGCTGTCACCACAGCTCATATAATTGCACCGAAGTGCCACGTAGAATTGCACCGGAGTGCCGCGTAGAATTACACGTAGTGCCATATAATAATGTCCATAAGGACTACATATCATTCCTAAGAATCATATACATATACTAGGGATCAAGTATGTCTCACCAGACTTCACACATGTTCCAAAGAATACATATATGTCCCGAAGGACCGCGTAGACCCTCAACTCTTGGCATGCCAACTATACCCCTAGCTCTCAAGACACATAACATGGGCATTTTCTTTTATACTATCATTCACATAACACATAGTTCAATTACATAGAATATTTCATATGAGTCACATTTACATGTCACATAGCTTATATACTTTCTCAGTAGTTCCATAGATCCATATCACATAACATATATCCCAAAGTGCACATAATCACATATATCATATCATATAGCTTAGATCATTTCTCAGATATTCATATAAACATACATATCATATCTTGTTCACATATG